ATCCCGATAATGGGCCATATTTAGCTCTAAAAGGGCATAGGTAAAAAAAGTGTCCAAGTTTATTTACAAATTGTCTTTATCTCTCACATCCTGACTAGTTCTCCTATCTTCTTAAAAAGAAAACGCAATGGAATTATTAGAACATGAGAAAAGGTATCTGCTTGCCTATCTCTGACGAAATGGTCTCCGTCTGAAAATGTATTCCTCATTAAATGATATTTATTCTCCAGGAGTAAAGCTACAGTGTTGAAGTTAATTTGGCGAATAGAGGGGATTCGCAGGTTGGTTCCACCGGAAACTGTAGGGGGATCGCTTTGGAACTATGATTGTAGATTTGTGCACATTTAATGTTTTGGTTGGATATAAACTCTTGAACAAACATTTAGGCGAAGCATTTGATATCCAATCAAAACATGAGATACTTAAGTAATTGGACCAAATGAGTCTATAAGAAGTATGTAGGTTTAAAGCCGGCCACCTTTCTTGCCTTCGTATTTTTGGAGAATAATCGTCAAGCATGGTGTCCTACTGTGACCATGTCCGTCGCATGACAAGGATTCATCGGGGTCGGAGGGTGGTTCGCCGATGACCTATTCGCACAAATATACAATCACGGCTCAAAGGCAACCCCTCTACAGTTTCCGGTGGAACCAACTTACGAATCCCTTCCACCCGCCTCTTCAAACGAAATGAAAGTTGCTCTAAAATAAATCTATTAAAGGATTCTTCGAAACCCAATTTTTCCACATAAATCTACAGTCTTTATTACTCTTCGGTGGGATGCTTTTCTTCCTGAAGCGTCATACTAATAATAATAAAAGAGCTTAAAATTCCAACTTTAGTTTTGTAACTATGGTTAGAAAGAAAATTCAGAACAAAGCCAGCATTTGAGGGTTTCTAATAAATAATTCTGACTAACTTACCGTCTTCCCTAATTACCATAACATCTTACAAAGGGTATTTCTTATTTTCTTATAATTCCATTTTGAAGTTAATATTTATTTGACGATGGTTAAGTGAGATTAGGAAAGTATCTAAACTGTCTCTACAATGCTGCCAGATTATAAAATTATCATCCATAAATCTAATAAGCAATGTGTAGTCAGTATTACCTCATGCATCAAGTGCTCCTCAAACATTACCATCAGTTATCCGCCCAAATTGGTGCTAAGCAAGTGACCATTGCAAGTCGTTGCGTATGTTCATAACACTTACCATCAAACGTGAAATATGTACTATTAATCGATAGGTTAAAGAGCCTTCGAATGGAAGCTATATTCAACTTGATTCCCTCCGTAATCTCTGAATGCTCCTCTTGAGTGAGCATGAGAGCCTGAATGACTTCTTGAACTGAAATATTTACATACATTGATGCACAGGAGCATCTTAACCAAATTAGCGCAAATATTTCTCATCTATATGATTTACTGGTAGTCTCACAACCCTGCTTACAAACGAAAAATGTTCACAGGGTTACATGGTTAAGGGTTACAGGAACACCTCAAGGCTTACTAAAATATTTTGACAGTCCATTAGTTTAACAAATTAATACAATTTTTAAATCGAAAATAACCAAGATTCTGTCACTTGCTTAAGTGTCTTCATAAAGAACGTAACATTTTATGCCTAACACTCACTTATTAGAAGTTGTTTGACCGTGTTTTTGCGACTTGATCATATTAGCAGAAAGGCTTAGTAGAACGCACCTTTTCAGGATCCATAGTATCCATAATAATTCAGAGTCGGATCGTGGACGATGAGGACTACGATGCCACAAAACGCTTGGAAATGTACCAATTCCACGGTCCGACTTTGGATATTATAATACATACTATGGACTCCGGACAAGGTGCGTTCCTTTGGGTCACTCTGATAATACGACCAAGTTGCAAAAACAAGGTTATAAAACTTCAATAATTTACTTTCACTTGTCATTTACATCAATACTAATGAAGTCTTTCTATGCGGTCGTGAGTATCACCAATCTTAGCGAATAATAACCAAGCTCTTTCTAAGGATCGCCTAAGAATTCAGTACCTCCATTAGTAATTGGGTATATGAATGCATACCAGGCCGATTGGCAAGGTCAATATTGGAATTGGACAAAGGTCTGCCCTTTCAGATGTCTCAGTTAATAAAGTGGGTACCAAATTGGTTGGGGATGTGTATAGTCTACCTGAAAGTGCTGGTTTTCCTGGGAAGTTCTTGTCCAGCCCAGCCAAATGGGGTTACCAATTAACCTTGTGAATATTTTTCGTTTGTAAGTAGGCTTGTGAGACTACCAGTAAATCATATAGATGAGATGTATTCGTCCTATTTTGTTTAAAGTATAATGGGACTGGCAATTAAATTTTCCCACAATGATATCAGTAGACTTCACGTTTCTGTTGAATTTCGCATAGCCTTTCTTCCAAAAAGATATTCCCATCTAGGCTGGACAAAAGCTTCGGCCTCGCTTAGATTTTATCAGCATCCCCAATGGGAGTCGAACCGTGATAGTGCAGCATATGATCTTGACATGTTATCCAGTACGTCACAATGCCACCAGTACCCTTTAGTCACAGGGCAAATGTGAGTCTCAACGAAGGCCAGACATTTTCCCATTTTCATTGTTTGGTGGGATTGTCAATGAAACAAAGTAATATTTACTATAGCCTCCCTTGGAATTCACATCTGTCCTGTGACCAAAGGGCACTTGTGGCAGTGCGACGTAGTGGTTAATGTGTCAAGATTATACGATGCATCGTCATGGTTCGAGTCCCGCTTGGGGCACTGATAAGAAATAGGCGAGGTCTAAACTGTAATCCAACCTAGATAAAAACACATTCTGGTAGAGCATGGCTGTGTGAAATTCATTTTAGGCGTCAGCTCTATTCATCATTGTGGGGAAGTTCAAATACCACTCCTTTATTACCTTAAACGCAATAGGGTGAGCACAGCTCATATAACCTTGTGAAAGTCTGGTGAGTAGGAGATAAAAAGAGGTAAGATTCAAGACTTCTAGTCGTCGGAATGTTGAAGAGTATACCCACCCTCCTCTACACACAATCCGTCCACTTGGACAGCCTCGAAATTTGTCATAGAAAAAGGTATAATGGCTCAAATCAACCCGCCTCTGGTTGGTACTAACTTGAAGTCTCGGATCAATGGTAAAGCTGCCAGCCGTGGGATTCATGCAGGCCACATACTGTGTATTGCTGATCTCTTTCAGACTAAGCTTGATACGGTCGTACCAGTGAGAGTGGTCAATATGTTGTCGAATCAAAGTGTGAGGCTGCACCGTAAAATAGAGGTCGACCTCGGGCATGTTGAGATCATCAATAAAGTAGATGAGTCGACGACTACCAGGAGGACCAAAGTTACGACCGGCCTTCTTCTCAAGTGGCTTCTCTAGCACCGCTTGCAGCATGGCACTGGTGGTATAAAAGTTGAATGGCACATTCGCCACCAGATAGTCTTCAGACAGACCAAGAAAAGTGTTCTGCACCAAAACCGTCTTGCCAGTTCCCGCACCGCCCACCAGCATCACAGGCCGTCGACGTTCAAGTAAGAGATCGAGGAAGTACTGCACTCTTGTGGTCTCTGTGGTTGGCACCATCATTGCCTGTCACCGATTGCGTGTATGTTTGTTGTAGTGAAAGTTGACATGTGAAGATGAAGTTGTGCATGATTTTACGGCATATTCATGGATACATGCATAAATAAGAAGACAAGTAAATATATTTAAATATTGGAACATATAAATTATTTACTAATGGCAAAATGCAGGCCTACCTGAAAAGTCT